TGAAAAGCACACTGAATTCTGTCTTTACAAAGCTCTGAAAGCATGACAGAGCTATCAGGCAGGCAATAGACACAGCTGCTTCCTACCACTTGCCTTGTACTTGTGCTGTCTGCCTTTCAAAAATAGGGCAGAAAAGAAAATGAATAAAATACAGCTTTAACACCATGTTTTAGGCCAGCTAAGAAAATATCATCTGTCCAAATCTACACGAATAACCGCTTCACTGGCATTGTACTATCTGTATACAACTTGCTAGCAAACTGAAGAACAACCTCTACAAGAAGACAGCAGAAACTGTACTTAAAGAAAAGGTCAACTCAGTACAATTACAGCAATTTAGAGTTTTTCCAGTTTCAATGATTATTTTCTATACTGCTTTAAGTACAACTTAAATGACCTTGATTTCATCAAACTGTTCTATTTCTAGTATTATCAACTAATATGAATCTCCGTCTTATGAATGTTATAATGAGTAATGACATCTGCTTGCTTTTACCTGGTGTAGATACACTATGCCCAAATGGTGAATAATCTGAAATGCTCTCCCGAGTTTGACGGCTGACAATTCGTGTAGCTGTCATTGGCTCTGAAAGGTGAAATATAAAGCTGTTATAAAGAAATTTAATTTTATTTTAATTAAAATGATGAGACGGAAATAGAAGCCGTACAACCACATGCAGTTTACATGCCTGCAAAACAGTTGTCAGATATTTTATAATACATCTCAGAAATGATGTGAGCAGCAAGACAGAGAAAATAATTCCAGTTTTGCAGACGGAAAAGAGCATCCTGATCACTACTGCCCAAGGAATGGAAAGGCCCCAAAGCAGGAAAGAAAAAAAAAAAACACAGAAGAAAGCAGGGCCTTGGCTTCAGTCCTCTCTGAGCACTGGGTGACAGAGCTGGTCACGGCACAGTGGAAGCACAATCTCTGTAAGCCTAAGAAATCTCAAAATATTTCTTCTTCTATCCTGTTGCATAAAATACTGAAGTATATCTTAAAGTTTTTCGTTTGTTTGTTTAAAAAAGCCTCCCAGCTACAGTCACTACCAGAATCTGGTTGTGCTAGAGGAGGTCCCTGCTAGAGGGCTAGGTTAAAGGTGACTCTGAGCAAGCTCTGGCAGAGGCACCACGTGCCTCCTCAGCTGCCTGCCAACTCTGCAGAGCTAGTCCTGGCCTTGCCCCATGCCAGCTCATGACCCCATGCTGGGGCATGCTGGACCCCAGGCAATCAGCATGATGCCTGCGGGCACCAGCTGAGTCTTCACACCTTGTCTTGGGCTTCACACCTGTAAGCCTGCATGCAGTACGCCTGCATGTTAGGATGGCTGATGTGGAAGCCCAGAGCTGCAGGTCAGCACATTTGGCAGTTGTTCATTGTACAGCATTACTGTCAGCCCCACCCCTGGTTCCAAATGGCTTTTTTGAGCAATTATGAATTATAAAATTGTTTTCCAGTTGTGGACAGTAATACCGCTTCTTTAGACAGGAGTGTGAGCAGACTTTCTTTCTCGATCAGAGGAGAAACTGGCCCAAATGTTTCCCCTGAAATTAAATGTGAAGGGCTGGAATTGTTCCTCTACATGTGCAAACTCTTTGAGAGCATTACACTGCTTAAGTTACATGATAAACTCTCACAGTAGCTTTGAGAGGCCTAAAAGATACATTTACTTCTGTTTCTTGTAAAGAAAATTCAAAGGGTTTAATTAGTATGAAAATGTAAGCTCCACGTGACATTTAGGATGTATCCGTCCTCCACTTTAGAGGATTGGGAAAAATATTATAGCTTTAGGTGTGCCAAAGTAAAATGATTACCAGTAGATGATTCATTAAGTCCAGCTGGCATTTCCGTCGTCATGTTCCCCTGAGTTTGGCTGGCATCTTGTGTTGTCATGGGTAGATCTAGAAAGAAAAAGTGAGGAAAAAAGTGTTTAAAGAAATTCTATTTCTTCTCAATGGAACCAAGTTAGAAATACCTAGTTCATAAAATTAATTTTAATAGAACCCCCTCACCTCAGCCTACTACCACCTAAATTCTCTCCCTCTCCCACCTAAGTTCTAAGCACGTACAGCCAAAGTTCTAAAAAATTACTTTTCATCAGCTGAATTTCAGCCAGTTTACTTTATTTTAGCCAACTTTTTACTTTACTTTAGACTCCAGGATTTTCCTTCTGTAAAAAGCTGTGTAAGAGTATGCCCTCTTACATTAAGAATTCATGGTCCCTACATGATTTATGAAGATGAAGACTCTTTTAGCATCCTTTCCATTCCCTAATAATGGGTGGTTCAGGATTAATGTTATATCCATATACACTTAGATATTCCAGGACACAATCTACTGCTATAGAACTTGCAGTGGATTTTGCTGTTCCTCAGTCACAAAGCAATCTTACACAAATAACTTAAATGATTTGACCAGCATTTACAAAGCTGTACTTGTAGCTCCCCTCACCCACTCCCCCAAAAAGGTTTTAAAACACATACAGTCATAATAAAAACTAGGAACAGTCAATAAACTCTACTAAACAGTCAAGCTTGACAGGGGTGATTAAAGCAAGGGAGGCTATTATACTTCTTATATTAAGGATAAGGTTGAAGAAAGGTCCATGAATTTTACATCTGTACAGTGTCTTCTAAGGTTGTCACGGATCACCTTTGTGTCAGCTTAGTAGATGCATCATGGGCATAGTAATTAGTAATTAAAAATCTTCCAAGATAAATTTAGAAGGTGCCAGCATCAGGCTGTACGGCAGCTCTGTCACCCCTCTGCAAGGAAGCCAGGTAACCTGCAGTACAGTTTGCACGCTAATCGAGTTCTCATCTTGGCTTTCTTCCTCAAGTCATGCACCAACTAAAAACAGTTGACGAATGTCACTTCTAGGCAGAGTTGCTTCTACATCTTAGCTTATATGTGATCATATGGAAACCTAGGTAGTGTAGAAGTAATGCTACATATCTGTCTTGTCCTCTCATATGCTGACCAACATAAAAGACCAAGACAAACCACAGCTAGATGATCAGTGTCATTAAGCCAGACAGTGATGTACGTAACTTCTCAGAAACTATTGGCTCTGGGCTGAATGCCTTTTGATTAAATCTAATATAAATCCATTATAAGCGGTGAATTGCTGGGTTCTGTTGGCCTGGTCTTTATGGAGAAAGAAACAGAAGAGAGCATACAATTTTTTCTTTCGCTCCCTACTAGTCATTATTTTAGAAATAAAGAGGTGTATTTCCTATCTGAGCAATTTCAGGCTTTTTGTTCTTGCTTTGAAACCCTACAAGTAGCCTGACTCACCTTCACAAGAATGCAATTGAGGAAAGTGCCCAAACAGGAAAAGTCTGAGATGCAACTTGGTTTAATTTAACATCATTAGCATTTAAACTAATGACAATTAATTTAGTATTAGTTATATTCTCTGCAACTGCATGAGAGTAACATGCGAAAACTGTCTGCTGGGAACATCATGGTACTTCTGTTACAGGAACAGTTGCAGTGTGAGCTCTCGTTAGACACCAGGGAACCCCAATGAGGGACCCTGAATACCTCAGTTTAAGTCCTTTCTTCAGAACAAACCAGAAAAATCCAGCAATGAAGCAAAGTCTATAGGAAATGAGGCATTTCCTGTGCTCTGCAAGTCATGCAGGGCTTCAGAGGTTAGAAGATTGCATGTGGTGGGGTTCCTTTTATCAAGTGCATCTGGCAGCACACCGTGCAACTAAGGTAAAAAACTAAGCTGAGCAACTAAATGAAGCAACAAGCTCTGCAAAACATGTCTTGGTATCTAGTATTTACCCTTTCATTACCCTCAACTCAACATAGAATACAAGTCATGGTTATTTGTTTTGAAAAATTCAACAAACAATTACAAAGGTTTAAAAGACAGAGTTGACAGAACACAAAACTATACAAGCTACTTATTCCACAATGAAAACTAGGAAGCCTTTTCTCTTTTGGTATCTACCTGACCAGCTGCAGGATATCTAGTCCACCTACCAGCAGCACAGCCTCCTTGCACACAGTACTTCCTTAGGTTGCATTTAACCACAAACATTTCCATTACAAGAAACATGCTGGTTTGGAGGTTCACTTAAATTTCATTCCTCACATCTCCAGAATACATCTTGTTTCTATATTTCACTAGAAGGCAGTTTTAGTACATCTCCCTCCAAGGTAACATTAGCTTCCCTTTGAAGTGAGGTTCAGCCAGTTGCTGTGCTAGCTCCTGACCAAGTTTTTGTAAATTATTAACTAATGGAAGAATAAAATAACCTTCCCCACATTTAAGACTGCATGGAAATTGCAGCATAAAGCCTCCCCACTTGCAGAAGTTATTTCACATGAATATGGAAGGGTTGATACAAACATGAAAAGCAAAAGCCTTAATTTATACTGATAAATGGTACTAATACAAGTGACGCCAATTACTAATATCTGATTAAAACTAGACATAGTACTCATCACTTTAGAAAGATGGAGATTTGGGCAAATTACTCCCAAAAGAGGAATTTTATGGCAAGAAAAGGTATAATTTCCCTTGCGGTTTTGCGTAAGTGCACTCTGACATTTAGAATTGCTTCAGTGACCGCTGGGTATAATTCTTGGTAGTAGAAGTCAGCAGCAGAAAATAAATATCATTATGGCTTGCTTGTCATGATGTGACTGACAGTTTCCCACAAATATCGGTCCATTTATAGTAACAAAACCTTTTCACTGATGGAAGAAACCTTTAGAAAGGACTTCTAAGTAAACTTCTCTCTCATACACACACACATACACTACTGTGTGTATGTAGTATAATGGTTTGCATGTCTCAAGCTTGTTGAAACTACATTTTCTGCCTTTTCATATTTTCATATAACACGATAACCCCAGTAAAATGATAACTCCTGTAAAATTTTATCACCAAAGCGGGCACCGTATTCAGAAAGTGGCACAGAGGCACCGACACTGCTCAGCTGCAGGTTGCACACTGAAAATGGAGCTCAGCCACTGCCGGTTAATTAAACTCGCAGCACTAATGGTTGTAATGTAATGGTTGTGTACATACACTGCGCAGAACTGGTCTTAGCAGAAGATGCTCCGTTACTAACTAACATTCTGCAAATATCGGCAACCTGATTATTACTTCCATTACTACATGTCAAAAATAGTGATTAACAATGAAGTGCACAAGTCTTACAGATAGTTTCCTATCTCCTTAGGAATGGCTGGCCTGCTCTTGAACCACGAAAACCCATCAGAGGTAGAATACAGTCCATAATGTTTGAGTCCCCTCTCCTTCATGAATAATTTAGCCATTGCTTTTAAAAATGCAGTACAAAATCCTTTCAAAAGCATTCCTCAAAACCCCCAAGGCATACCGATATTTTACTTAAGCAATTTACTAGTACAGAACATACAGAGCTGGGACTCTTAAGCCTTAACAACACATTATTCGGCTAAGATAAAGCAACAACTGGACACTACGCCTTGACTCCAAGTCCTCCAACTGCGAGCTGGGGATGACCATTCCCGCTCGGGAGGCAGAAAGCGCAGACTTACGGTGCAGGATTTCAGCACCACTAGATTTCGGCACGG